GACACGCCTCGCTCAGCCCTTCCCGCGCCATGTGAGGGGGAAGAAGGCTTCGCCGTCGTGGTCGTCGATCGACTCGTCGGCAGCGGCTATGCGCGACGACGGTGACCCAGGCTTATCTCGACGAGATATATCCGTAGGTGTACGAAGTATACCTAGGTATGTTGATGTTCGGGCGATGAAACACGACCGACCATGTAACCTCTCCAACTCGCCAATTGCCCGACTGTCTCTCCATCTCCGCCTCCTCTTTTTTTTAGTTTTTTTTTTTTTTTAGCTTTCTTTGCCACCGTATCTCTCAATGCCCCCATCGCTTCCGTCCACGACCCCTACTCCATGTCAAGCTGAAGCCTCCCCTTCAACCCAAAACCCGCTGGGGTTGCCTGCGAAGCAACAGAGTAGGTAGTAACCTTTGTGAGAAGGCGGGCCACCGATCAGGACAGCGTGGTTCCCCACGGCGGCTGCAACCAAGACCCCTTCTCTCGGTACTATAGACGAGCATGCATGCATGTGCTTGATGAAGTCTTCCCGCGAGCCCACCTCCCTCTCTAACGTCGGAGCTCGCCATGAGGCGGGAAGAGGTGATGGGCACCGGGTGTTCTTTTCCCATCTCAATGCCCTCATTTCCCGGGGACGAAGAACTTGGCTTTTACCAGTCGACGATCCCGTCCTCCCTTTGACAGCGTCCAACAATGCCGGCCGGAAGTAGCAACAACCGGGACGACGGCGGAAGATGCCCGGCGCATATGTGTGTGTGTGTGTCCCAATGTCGGAGCCGACGGTGATCATAACGAAAAACGACCCCCTCGCGGCTGCGGCCCAAAATCTTGGCTCTCTCAGCTCCGTCGGTTCGCGGCAGCGCGCGGCTCTTGTCGTTTCCGAACCACGCACGCACCCGGCACTGCGCTGCACTCACACACGCGCCCCATAGACGACGACCCCCCCCCCCCCCCGGACGGTCACGGAGATGCGCGAGGAAGGGAGACCCTTTCGTCGATAGCTCGACAAGAGGGTGGTTTATTTTGTATGCTTCCAATCATCCCGGCCTCCCGGTAGGGGGACGTAGGGAAGTGTTGATTAGCAGCCGCATTTTTATTTATTCTTGTTTATTTATCTCTCTCTAACGAAAAGCATTCCCACCTTGCTGTCGATCTCTCTCCCCGGGCCATTTCTTTTTTCACAGCCACCAACCAGCACTACACGTCGATATTTTTGGTCCGCCGTGTTTTGTAAACTGGTCAAGGTCCATGGGGATACGGCGGGCTTCCCGTGTCGAGTCCGTATCGAAGATGATCGTCCTTGGACATGGGCAGGATACATATCCTCCCCTACTCGCCGCCATCCCAACGAGGCCCAGAGATGGGTGGGGAGGAGGGACCTGCAGGACAACGGCTGGTGTCCCAAACTTCTTGTTTTCCGTGCATAACAACTTAGCTGAACATGCAAGCCATACAGCACAATACGGTGCCACGCAACACGATGCATGCACTAAGCCACGTTTAGAAGGGAGATGGGCAAGAATGCAAAAGACGCCGTAGATAATTAGAAACAATACGGGGCGGTGGGGGAGAGAGAGAGAGAGACACACACACACACAGAGAGAGACCTGGCTTTTCCCATAGACGTGCCGGGCGCCGCTGTAACGTGACAACGCTGGGCGACGACGACCAACGACGAAAAGATGACGCCAGAACCCTGAATTGCATCGGTCCGAACCCCCTCCCCGGCCAAGACACGCCAGCATAGAAAGGGATTCGGGGGATCTGCGTCGTGCTGCCAACCAATGTACGCAGGCGTGGCTTGTGAAAGTCTCGGACCCTGAGACGACGGCTGAGGAATGCAACTCGGCCGACGCAGAAAAGAAACCAAAAAAAAGAAAGAAAAAAGGAAAGAGAGGAGAAACGACGGTGCGTGGCGTGCTGATTACTGGATCAATGGGGTCGGCGATCAGTGTTTCACGAGGGGCACATCACAACAGCTCTTCCTCATCTCGCCGATGGTACCGGACTGGACTCCGTCGAGGCCTCCCGGTTTCGCAAAGGGCTCAGCTGACTGACGGTGGGAAAAGAGAGAAAGAGAGAGAGAGAGAGAGAGAAAAGGTAAGAATGCTAGAGGGAGAGTAGTCCCCCGTTTGTAATTAATGGATAGCCAGCCAACCAGGCATCATCTTTGGGGAAGGGGTCCATAACGTGCTATTGGTTTGGTTGGGTTTTTATGTAAGAAAAAACACAATGAAAGAAGATTTTTTTTTCTCTCCCCTTCCTCATTTGCCCGAGTGTGTTTGGACATGGTTTGCCTAATTCCGCGGCATACCTGGGCTGGGGACTCAGACGCCACGGCGAGTTAAGTTTCGAGAGGTCATTTCTTGCGACGCACGAGGCTTGGCGGCTGGTCGGCGAGAGACCGGACAGAGAGAGAGAGAGAGAGAGAGAGAGAGAGAGAGAGTTTGATTGTCAAGTGTCAGCACCGGGTTCGTGTGGACGACTCCGACGACTCCGATGACTATGAAGTGAGGACATGGCACTATCCGTACTTTGAACGGAGTGAAAAAGAAAAAAGTGTCGTGGCACCCTGTGCAACCAATCACACCTGCAATGCTCATGTCGAGACACACCCCATACAAGGTAGCATCTGGTGAAGATGGGGAGTGTTGTCTTCACGTGTGTGTTTGATTGACACTTGACACTTGGGCCATTCGACTTATGCCCCAAGCGATAATTGGCACACAGTAGGTAGCCATGCGGTAAGGTAATGCAGTCCGTAGGTCATAACCCAACCTAAGTTTGCGTCGCTTTGGCAGCCTCAAACAGGAAGCTTTCTTACCCCTTTTTTTTTCTTTTTTTCTTTTCTTTCTCTTTTGTTATATCGAAACCCCGAGATAACCCCGCCGATGCTATACCTATTCCCCTAGTTGGCCGTGCCCAAGGGAGAGAGACAGGGAGAGCTGAAGAGTATGGGCAAAATGCCCTCACACACAGACACGCACGCACCCCACACACACCCCCCCGGGCACTTGGTTCCGCCAAGGAATGAAAGTGAGTGGACGTCGAGTGAAGAGACGGGCATATGAAATATGTAAATGAGAAAACATACCACGTCCTCCGCCCCGAATTCGAAAAGCGCTCATGCGCGTCGACGTCAGCGGCGGCAGCGACAACAATAACGACCATCCCCCCCCCCCCCCCCCCCGGGCCGACTGCGGAAGGGAGGGGAGCACACGCTAGGGAAATAAGGACGGTGCGGGGCGGGGTATCCACTTCCGGCCGGGCTGGCAAATGAGAGAGGGCCGGGCGGGCGGCAGAGACCTGTGGTGATTGGTCAGGAATCAGTTCCGTCCCCAGGGTCCTTCGCGTCCCCCCCCTCCCACCTCATCCTTCTCCGCCATCTCGGTTGGCGCGTAAAGAACGAACAAACTACGACTACTCCGTACGCTACTGCGCAACGCATCGTGCTGTTGTCGAATGACCGGACACTACGAACACTACGTAGGACCCCTACGAATCCCCCAATGACGTCCGTCTTGCGTTGCATCTCGGCCTGGCGTCGTGATTGGTGTCGAACCCGTTCGCTTCTGCAGGTCCGCAGGCCCCCCCTCCCTCTCTTCCCTTTCTCTCCGCTGTTTCCCATTTCCCACTTCCTGGTTTTATAATGTGCTGTCAGTGCCGTGTTCGTCCGCTCGTCCAATCGACCCTTTGGCGCGCCAGGCCCTCGGGAGGGGATCGGTCGCGCAGTGTGTTTGCATGTGTGAACAGAGACGAGATGTGTGGCCGGGGGGGGGGGGGAAACCACAGATGGAGATATGCACGATGATGTCTGGTCTCGATACTCTCGTTAGCGACGGAAAGGGCGCTAGCGTCGTAGCGTCAACGTCTTTTTTGTTCGCTGCCCGAGTACCGCAGCAAGACGAATAACATGACAGTTCGTTTACCGCCATGAATAGATGACCCAATGGCCGGGGGCAACGCGAAGAAAGAAAGACAGAGAGAGGGAGAGAGAGAGAGAGAGAGAGAGAGAGAGAGAGAGAGAGAGAGAGAGAGAGAGAGAGAGAGAGAGAGAGAGAGAAAGAGACGAGAGACAAGAGGTCAATGCGAGCAAATGATTTTTATGTTGTTTTTTATCCCTTTGATCCTCGTCAAAGTTTGGTTCCCAATCTTCTTCCTCTCTAGTGCTAAAGAGTCTTATCGCATCATATATCCGAGACAAACCCGAAAACAAGTATAAATAAATAAAGATAACAGCAGCAATGATAAAAGAGGAGAGAAAAGAGCCAAGATCCACCCAGACACTAACTGCCTGCCGGGGGAAACAAATACGCAAAAAAACATACGACGCCCCGGGATCAGACTAGCAGCAGCCGAGGGGACAAAAGGGGGCAGTGAGTGACACGAGCTGCAGCGTGGAGTAGGTACGATACGATACGATACGATACGATGTATGTATGTGTATGTACAGTACAGTACGGAGTACTAAGTATGTAACTCGGTATGTGCACTACGAATACGCAGCACGTGCTTTGCTCGACCCCGAGACCTTGCCCCGGAATCCGACGAATGAGAAGGCGCAAAACCCTAATAGTGTCTCCATATTTCCCCTTTTTGTCTCTCCTTCCTTCCGTTGCTTCCTCGCCTTCCATGCGACCGACTCCATACAAAAAAGGAAAGACCGGGAGCGGAGGGAGATGGAAGGAAAGAAAGGCCCAAGGCCGACCAGTCCCCGTGACCGAGACCCGCTTTCGGATGGGGTCGAGTCAGGTCTCCGAGTGTGCGGCCAATAGAAAGTCACCAGGTGGGGCTGAATGATTACTACGTATCCGTAGAAGCCTAGCAAAGGAAGAAAACACACACACAAACACTCCTTCGCACACACACATACGGATACATACACACTCATACTCCGTACACACACACACACTCACCTTAGACATACCACGCAGGCATGTACCAGTATGCGCATGTTTTCCGATATGGATGTAGGCCGTACTTGACAAGAAACATGCATCATGAGATTGTAGAACGTGATCATCGTGTAGATTAACATGGTATATCTAAAAGGTACAAGAAAATATGCTGTTTGCGCCCCAGGCACCAATGCTGTTTTGTTTTTTCATCTTTCTCGCTTGCTCGTATCGCTCCGGGCGACTGGGACCCTCTCTCCCCTCCCTTTTTTTCCCCACTCGCCGACCCCTAAAATCGCATCTGAATGCGAGATTGGGCGCGAGAATCATCTATATTGTGGGGGGGGAGAGGCGCGGGAAAACCCACGCGCCAGCGCAGCAAAGTCATCTCGCATCGAACCAGCTCCATAAACCCACAGGCAGACCGCTTTTGGTTATTGGAGTGGAAGCGAGGGAGGAAGAAGAAAAAAAAGAAAGAAAAAAAAGACAGAAAAAAAAGACAGAAAAAAATTGCGGAACCAAGGCCCGCAATCGCCGTCGGCTGCCGACTCGGCCCCAGCTTCGGCAGGGTGAGGGAGTCAGTGTCGACAACGACAAAGTTCTGTTTGATGGCCCATCTCACGACATCCCCTGGGAGGGGAAAGGGTCATATGCTACCCTTTTGCCGAAGTTGAGACCTCCCTTGGGCCCCCCTCTCCCCTGTTGGAGGCGACAACATGTGGTCTGTTTCCAAGAGGGCGGGAGGGGAGGGCCAGGAAAAAGGAGAGAAGAAGAAAAAGGGCGCTTGACCGTAGCATTACACAATGCTGCGGTTGCGTTGGTGCCGTTGTTAGGTATAAAACCATCCCCCCCCCCAATCCGTCACAGGAGCCCGTGGCGGCGGGTTGGTTTCACCCTGGGCGGGCTGACCTTGCCTGCGGAACGGGAGTCGAGAAGAATCCAAAGACGCAGAGCACGAACCGACCAGGCGGGGTTGGGGTGTTCTGGAAGTTCTGCCGCGACTCCACCCAGGCGGGATGAACGGCGTTGCCATGATCAGAAATCCCCCCCCCCCCGGGACGCCCCTTGAAAGGGGAGGGAACTCGTCTTGTGGTGAGGATTCACCGACATCTCATACCCCCGCCAATACCGTGTTGGTTGATGGTCGGCTGTGACCCCATCGTCGGTCCCTTAGCTGGTAGACCTCGCAGAGTCGTGCGATTGATGGCCCCACGCCCTTCATTCCGGTCCCCATCCCCGTCGTGCTGACGAGGCCCTGTTCTCTCCTTACACCCATGGTGGGTGGATGGTGGTGACATGGGAGACTGCCAATGTCCAGATGGCACCTATTCGTCTCACCGCCCACGGATCTGATGTGACGATGGTGGTTACCCGGCGGTGGGAGAGGTTGCGTTTTGTTGGTTGCATGTAACCGTGGGAGTTCGTAGAGCGCTACCGTATGCGTGCGCTCTCTAACCACCTGCTGCTGCTGCTGAGTCTAGGTGGTGAATAGATGGGCGAGGGGAGGATGAATGCGATTCCCGGTTCTCGTATGCTGCCCGGTTCCCAAAAGATCAAATCGATATGCATCTCCCCGTTAAAGGGGGGGGGGGGGGGGGGGGGTATTTCCTGGGCAATGGAAGGGAGGGAAAAGGTCGAGAGAGAGAAAGAGACAGTAGAAAAAGACCATGCCCCCTTCATTTGTAGCCGACCATCTTGGCGCACCGCTCGCAGTAGTAGAGGTTGTGGGCGATGCGGACCATGCCGGTCGAGCTGGAGTCGTCGGTCGAGGTGGCCTCGACGGACCTCGCGCAGCGCAGGCAGCGGAGGACCTCGACGGAGGCGATCGGTCTCGGGGCAGAGTCCATGCTGTGGCGGTAGGACGACGAGGCGGACGACAGGTCGGAGTCGGACGAGGACGAGGAGCTGTAGTGAATCTGGGAGGGGCGCGAGTTCGAAGGCATAATGGCGTGGGTTTGGTGGTTGTGAGTTGGTGTTGCTGGAGTTGTTGTTTCTTTGGGGTGACGAGGTTGAGTAGAGACCCGTAGGGTGTTGGCTATCCTCCTTGTTGGTGTGCAGTCAAGTGTTGGTAGTAGTCTCTCGGTTTGGTGTCAAGAGGCTAGAGTTGGGTTGAAAGTGAGGTCTGGATATGGGTGTGTGGGAGCGCCTGATGATATATAGTAGAGAGAGCAAATCCGTGGGAGGGACTAAGGAAGGGAAGAGCGAGCCGTATATCCAGTAGAAGGGGGGGGGTGCAATGGGTGTTCTTGATGACCAGGGGTGTGTGGGCGGGCGTGCGTATTTTGTATGTTCTTGACAGGGGTGAGGGTTCAAAAAAGAAATAAGGAGGGTAGAGAGAGAGAGAGAGAGAGAGAGAGAGAGAGAGAGAGACACACACACACCAAGGGGGTGTGTGTGTGGTTTGCTACTCTGGGCAGAAGGGGTGTGTGTGTGTGTGTGTGCGGGTGACGAGGGAAGACCAGATGGTGATGGTTGGCCCGTGTAATAAAGCAGTCGAGATGTGCAAAGAGGACTCTGGAAGTGTCGGCAAAGCAGAAACTCCCCCCGGATGGATGCGAAATTGTGCAGGCTGTGTGTGTACTTGGGGTGGCAGTGTGCGGTGCGGCAGCTCCAGCCCAGCCAGGATGATGCGTTGTGCTTGTTCTTCTTCTTCTCCAAGTCAGAAGACAGGGGAGAGGGAAGGGGGGTGCAACGTCAGGCACCAGAGATAGATAGCGAGCCAAACCCCAGCCAGGCTAAGAAGGGGGGGGGGGGGGGTGGTAGACTAGATGACTTGTGAAAGCGAGGGAGAACGGAGAGAGAGAGAGAACGGAGAGAGAGGGAGACAGAGAGACGGAGAATAGAGACGGAGAGGGTGTTGACGGCCGCGTCGATCCGCTGACGGTTTCCGATTCTCAATGCCCACCGCTTCGCAGAGAACGGTGTGTGGGTTGCGTAACGGAGGTGTCGAGCCCGTAAAACAGAATCAGTCCTGCGTCAGGGTTTCCGTCCTGCCAGGGGTGGAGTCTGTCAGCTTTGGTTGGGGGGTGTTGCTGGTCTTGCGCCTCCTTTTTCTCATAAACGGGGCGTGCACAAGTCTGCATAGCAGCAACATGCAAGAAACCCTAAGACAGGGAGGGAGGGAGATTCACTCAACCGGGGCTCCAATCGAGGCGGTTCACCAGAGAGAGGAAGAGAGGGCGTGCAGCAGCTTGGCGGCAGCAACCCGAGATGACAGTGGTGTGTGCGCGCAAAGACCGGATGGGGCTGGGTTGATTGGGCAGAGATATCAACGCGTTGGCTCGGTATTTCTTCTGTCTGAGTCGTGACAGCTTGTGTTCGTTTCTCCCTTGGGCGGCGGTGCAGCGGTGTGTTGTGTAATCGGGCTCGAAAGGCCTGCCTTTCTGCTTCCTGTCCAATTTTTGAGGCCTGCTCGTTGGGTTCGGCGTCCTTCGATGTGTATGGGTGGCTTCGGCGAGGGCGGGATGACTTGTCCTCTTGTTGGTGAGGTGACAAGGGACGGTGATTTTCCCTCCAAACCGGTGGAGAGAAGAGAGAGAGAGAGAGAGAGAGAGAGAGAGAGAGAGAGAGAGAGTAAAATAGAGAGAGAGAGTTTTACGGGATGCGGAACAAGCCAGTCGTATTGAGTAGGGAGGGAGGGGGGGGCGGGAAAAGAGTCTGATCAAAGACTGTCTCCTCGTTTACACGTACAGGGGAGTCTATCGCCTGTGTCGTTAATGAGTGCCGAAAGAGAATACCAAAACAATCTCGTTTCCCAACGCGGGCCGGTATGATATCGAAAAGGGGGACGTCGGCACATTTAATACATGCTGCGCGCGTGAGCGACGAAGGGGGAAGAGAAGCTATGATATTCAGGGTCCAAACAGATGAGAGGGGGGCGTGGTAGTGGGCAATCAGACACTCCCGGGCCGCCAAAAGATGCTCCGTCGTTCCCGTGGCGCCCTCCCGGATGATTATCAAATATGCTCGGCCATGGAGATCAGGTCGCAACACTGGGACCTCCCAGGAACCACAACAGACAAGATCATCAGTCCGAGACGCCGGTAGGGAGTAGCTTCTGATTGGGATTCTCAATTAAAGGACGGGCCGTGGAGTGTGTGACAGGCACGAGTGGAGGACGGCGGCGAGGACCATGAAAGCCGTGGCGTGCATCATGATATTGGTGCCGTCCAACCCCTCCACTCTCCTCTTCCTCATCCTTCCCCCCTTCCTTCTTGGACATGTCCACTGTCGACTCCTGAAAGGGGGGAGGGGGGCCGCTTTCCATCTCATCGACCTCGGCGCCGGCCTCGTCGTCGTTCATGAGTGGGAAACTCGAACCGCGTCTCAGAGGCAGCCCACGCGCGAAGATGCCCTCATCCCCCCCAAATGGGGGTCGGTGGGCTTTCGGGCCAGGGAGCGGGGCACGGGAAGTGAGGATCGGAGGGAATTGGGTCGTTCAAGATTCGATTGATGGCGGGCCAAGGTTTCATGTTTCTCGAAGCCAGCCATGGATAATTCGCAATATCGTGGGGTGAGATTAATCCCGAACCGCCAGCCAACCTCACTCCATCCATCATCCCACTCATTCAACATACCAAGGACTTCACAATACCTAGTCCTGTCTGTATAACATTGCAATCATTGAACCCGGCCAGGCAGCGGCAGCATAAGCAGCACCAGCAGCAGCAGCAGCAGCACGACACAGCTGCCACCACGAACCAACCAGCGTGAGATGCTCACCCCGTCCCCGTAGAAACGTACCTCTGCCCTGCAGCAACTCTGCAGCTCGAGATTTATCCCGCAGTCTGCGATGCAGATTACTATCAAAGCCAAGTGCCGCGGGGAGGGGGAGGGGGGGGGGCAACCCCGGATCGACCACGGAGCCCCGAGTTGTGGGAGGACCAACAATCCAAGTTCCCTTTCTTTCCATGACCGGAGCCTCCTCTCATGCTGTCCTTTGACAAGAATAGACTTTCTGCCTCTCTCGTGTGTCTTTCTCCCCCATGGCCCTCTGCCCCTAAGCTGTTTGGGATTGATCACGTCGTCGTATGATCATCGCGGGAGTCCATTGCATTTTTTTTCCCTCGTCGTAATTAATCTACAGAAATCCCACCCCCCCCCTCCAGCCCTGTCCGTTTACTCGAACCCTAGTGGGCCGCCGATAAAAATCAGGGACCCCGATCAGCGCGAGAGGCATGTCAAAGAGATAAGGGGGGAGACGCACGGATTGGCGCGATGCCTTTGCTCGCGTGTGCTGCTTAATTAGAGGAGCAGGGGAAACCATCGCCGCTTCACGGCAACATCTATACACTACGAAACCTCTAGCAGGTTCGCAAGAAGGAGAAGGGAGGGGAGGAGAGAAGATCCCTTGGACGGACGGCGCCCCCGAACCATTGCGGCCGCCTGCCGATGATACCACCGCAAAAACCGAGAGCGTCGTTACGGAGGGCGCCCCCCCCGCGGGATTCAACTGGGCGATGGACAGGAGCCGGGAGCATCCCTCGAGAGAACACTGGTTTTTGACCACCGAGCGCTCCTTTCCTCGCTACGGTTCCGCTGCGGCCCCGGTCGAACAGAGAGTTGCGGTTGCGGACGCGTGCATATGCCTCGTCCTCTATCCCATACCGGCAACTCTGTACAGGAAGGGGAAGGGGAAGGGGGGTCCAGAACGGCCTTTCTTTCGCAGTCTATTTTGTCTGACATGTTGCTATTTCGCCGCCATCCTTGTCTACGAGCGCGATTCCCCCACTCCCCGATCTTCCCCTCTCCCCCCCTTTCGCCTTTCTGCTTCGAGGCTGTGTATGGTTCAAAAACGAAGCTGTCAGTTTCGCACTTCCTTTTTGAGCTTCATCTCGGGGTGTTCGTTCGGCCCCTGTATCCCGAATGGGCGCGTAGGTTTCCGTCGTATTCGTAGAACCGGCGGGAACATCGTACCATCACGGCGTTTGTCTGTTCGGGGCCCCTGGGGAGAGAGGAACGGGATGGGAGGGGGGGCTGAGGCTTTGGAGAGTTTGTTTTGGCCTACAGGTCGGTGCCGTCTCTTGTAAATGCGAGAACTTGGGTCCGCCCAACGGGAGGGCCGTGGATGCACAACGCCCAACCGAACGGACGGGACGAATGGTACCCCCTGAAGGGTATTCTGGGCGATATCCAACAGAGTGCAATGCTACTATAGCGCGTGAACTGTGAAACGGATGGACTCTGTAGGATGGAGATTCAATCAATTTTGAGTTTTTTGTCCCTCTCTCTCTCTCTCTTCCACAGGGGAGTTATTTTCGACCCAGCGAGATTGTTTGTTTGTGTTTACTGTTGCTATTCAGATCCAGAACTGGAGCCCCCAGGGACTAATAATAATGTTGATGATAATAACGATAATAAGGGCATTTACTTTATGCTATGGAAACTATGGTTTTACCAGGCTGGCCAGAGCGTGTATAGCCTCGATACCGTTAAAGCGTGAGTCAAAAAGAGGAATAAACGCTATTGTGGCGACCTGCGGAAACACGGAGAAAATATACATATATACATATGTGTATATACAGTGTACATACATACTCAGCGCCAAGCACTGCAGCCAACAACCAAACAGCGCAAACTATCGTGAGTTTACGTAAAAAGCATCGGTTTGTTGGACGGGTCTCCCGCCGGGCTGCCTTGCCACGGTGTCGGATAGAGCCTATTGTGGCGCCGTCGAAACTGTAAAGGCCTCGGGAAATAAGAGAGAGGGGTGGAGGTGTCAACCCTATACACGAAAAAGGAAAAGGAGAAAAGAAGAAAAAAGTAAAACAGGCCTGTCTGGAACCAGACCTTTCTCCTCAACTCCCGGTGGCTACATGTGGAATACGGGACGGACACGACCTCGGGAGTGCCCTGTCGGGGTTAACACACGATCGCGGCCTCGGGGTGTTTGCAGGCCGTCCTTCGGCGGCTGTTGCTGCTCTTTCGTTTGACTTGCCGCCAT